ACACTGTCAATTAGGAATCTGGTGGTCACTCTTCTAGCTTTGTCTGTTCCCTTTGACTCTCTAACAGTTCTTTCTCTCTACTAACAGGGGAGTGGGGATAAAGACAATAGAGAACTTTCTGGCACTTTGGGTTTTCTGCTCACTCATCTTGGAAGATAATAAAACTGATTCTACTGGAAACACTGTTGAGCCACCCTGCCTGGGGCTTGCATCAGGCAACCTAGGGTAGTCTCCTGCAGAATTAACCACTACTGCTCATGGAGATTTTAGACACATATCTTAGCCACTGGTATTCAAATTAGGGTTCCAACCTTTTTTGCTTGATTTGATCACTGTGTCCCCACTTAATGTCACCGGACAGGATTTAATGTTACTGTACATTGTTTCTCATTTTTACAAGGCCTTGATCTGGACTTTGGAAAGAATAAAACTACTTGAAAAACTCACCTAATAAACTCTTTGCTGAGGGACTCTAGATAAACCCCATACATATACCCTGATAAACTCCAGAGCTACTAGGCAAACTCCACCACCACTCTGTTTGCTCCATTTAAAATATGCTGCCTCTGATTCTCTAGATTTGCTGAGTCATTTCCCAATTTGCATTCTATGTTAGCTTTCTCAGACCTATCTGTCTGTTCCGATGCATGGAAAAAGTTTGAAAGATCCCCAAATGGCCCCTTTCTGAAGACCCAATCACTAGGATTCTGGATATAGGGCAACATTCCATCTAACATCTGTCAAAAGGATAGAAGAAATTCTGTGTGGCAATGGAACTTTTTCCAAATAAATTCCTTCACAAATATCCCTTTTACTTGCTGTTTTTGATTCCTTAATATAACAAGAAAAATATGCTTCAAAAAAATATGAGCAGCCCCTTTTTCATATGGAAACTGTACAAATTTTATGTGAAGTATACATTTCTGACATACTTTGGTATTTTGAGATATATCACTGCCTCATTTAAAAAATTTTTTGATTTTTTTGGTTTTTTGAGACAGGTTCTCACTTTGTAGTTCCGGCTGGCCCTGAACTCATTATGTAGCCTAAGCTGGTCTCAAACTCATGGCGATCTTCCTCCCTCTGCTTCCCAATTGCTAGGATTACAGGCATGAGTCACCGCACCTGGGGAAACCTCATTAAAAATTAAGGAATCTTGTTCTACCGTTCAATTATAGGTTTAAACTGTACTAAAATTACTAACGGCCTTCTGTTTAAAATCCCCTCAAAACCATTAAATATGTTACGAAGCCTACTCTTTCCTCTGTTATTAGTTGAGAATAAGCTTTAGGCTTTCAATGAGAAAGAGGAAAATATTCATGCCTAGTCATCAGCAGCACTAGTGCGGGTTCCATAACAATGCGAGAAGCTGTTCTACTTTTCTCCTCCCATTCCCCATTTCTTCAAAGTACTCCCTTACATTGTGCTGCATTTATTGTCTCTTTGACAGACACATTGAGAGATCATCCCTTTACACACTCCATGATTTTACTTTCTTGCAAACACAGAATAATGTTCATTTTTCTGTGCTCCCGCTATATCATCCTTTAAAACTCTGCTGAATTCCTAAATTAATAAATGTAAACCAGTAAGTCTATTAATTCTTCAGCTTGAATTAGACAGCTGTCCACATATGATCATAACTTACTAAATATTTTGGTTGTTAATGTTACCTCCTCCCTTGGTGGCTTTCATAAATATAAGGTCCATTTGAAGCTCAGAGAATTCCATTGATTTGCCATTGGTGGAGGTGGGGGAGGAGACTGATTCTACTTCTTTATTTTGCCAGAAAAGAAAAATCCTTACTACGTTAATGGAAGAAAGGTTGGTGCCTTTTACTGATCATAGGTGCAAGAGAACTATTCTTTTCAAAGAAGAAAGCCTGCCTAGTGGTCTGGCATGCAGCAATTTAATCTTCTCCATTAAATGAGATGGTCCAGTTCCTCTTGGTTCTTTTGAGAGTGTTAGAAAGATAGTAGAATTGATTAAAAAAAAGACAACCTTCTGTTTCGAGTGACTACTAAATATATGTTCAAATTCTGTGCATCTGTAATATTAGAGAAGAAACCACTCTTTAGGATCTGTTTCAGGTATATAAGTAAACAACGTTTTGGAAATGAAACTGATCTGAGGATGTGGAGGTTTCAGTTCACCCTGTTGCTTTGCGGGCTGTGGAGAAGCAGTGTATCATGGCAAAAGCAGATGGCAGAGAAAGCTACTTGCCTCAAGGCAGTAGAAAAACAGAGAAAAAAAGGAAGGACCTATGTCCCAACATGCCTTTCAAGGCACACCATTGTGTGACTGGAAGACTCAGGCTATACCCTTCCTCTTAAGAGATTCTGCCACTTCCCATGAGTTCCAGGAACCTGGGACTGAGCCTTTAACACAGGGACCTTTGGAGGATGCTTACACAAACCACAGCAGTAACATTACAAATAACTGGAGAGACCATTCTCTCATAAACTTAATGCTTTTCAAGATTCTCTCTAAATCCAAACATCACAACCTGCAATAAGTTAAAAAAAAAAAAAAAAAGAAAGAACTGAGTTGGAAAAATGTCAGCAGGATCAATTTACAAACTTCATTTTGACAGAAAGTTGTTCTGCAGGCAGCCCTTGGCACAGCACTCGTGTCTGTGACTGGCACAGGGTGCTGCTTGGCAGACAATGGTGGAGGCAAATGTGATGGAGCAGGTACTTGCAGACTCCTTGCATTGCAAAAAATAGCACTGGGATAGCAATGGGTGCTACCAGAGAGCCTAGCAAGCAAGAAGAGAAATGGCAGCTGGCACACAGTAACCAAGTACTTTGGACAAAACACCAGATTCCCTCAGAACTTGAAGCATGACTTGAAGGAATTTGAGGAGTGCTAAAATTCCAACAGAACAAATATGAGAGAATTTAGGCAAACACTTCTGTTACACATTTAAAAGTAGTTCTATCATTAATTAGTTATATAATCTCAGAAAATGTTGCTTTGTGAGGTTCAGTTGACCCATATTTAAAATGTAAATGATAAAAGTAGTGATATAGGGGAAAATGTAACTCCCAACCTACTACATGTCAGATATGCTGAGTTCATGTCCCCTGAAATGGAAGAATGAATTCCAAAGGACAAAGGAGGTTAAGAGTAGGAAGAATTTATTGGGGAATAAGAATAGCTCCTGAGAGACAGGAGGGGTCCAGGAAATTGGTTGCCACAAAGATCCCTTGTCAAGGGTAATTTATACAGCAAAGTCACAACGTGAGTACAAAGTGGATCCAGCTGCCATCAGCCTATAGGATTACAAGCGTAGCTGCTTAGCTAATGTTGATCCAATAGAGAAGTGGGTCATGTGGCTAGGGTACATGGAAAGAACAAAGGCATTTGGGGGAAGGGTTGAATGCCCTTGTCACCCACATGGGTGACAGATGTCTATAGTCTTTACTGGGCCAGGTGGTAACACTTATAGCATAATTCCAAGTTACTCTTTATCCCCTAGGGAAGGCATGTTGCCCTGGTCACAGCAGCTGCATCTTCCTCTTGAGGCCTGGTCTTCTTCAGATGTGCCTGCAGCCACAATTCTTACGTCTTTGTTTTTCTGCTGACTTCCTTGACCACCCAGTCCCTTTCTGACTGAATATTAATTTCTATCTAATTTAGCTGCCTGTGATAGTAGTTACTTAGCAAAATTATAGGGAAGAGTCAGTAAATTAAATGAATATAGATTGTATATATTTGTAAAACCTTGTAAATCATAATACTATATAAATATTATTATGTTTGTTATTATTATCACCACATAATCCTCTCCCCCAAGAATCTTTGTGAGCCAGAGATTTAGCTCAGTGGTGTCACAATTGCTTCACAAACATAAGGTCCTGAGTTCAATCTCTGGTACAAAAAAAAAAAGAAGCTTTGTGTGCCAGACAGCATGAGTTAGATTATTTACAAAATACTGCATATCATGGTGGGTGGAGGAACCTAAAGGATAAAAAGTTAAAACAAAATAAAGTGAACAAAAAAATTTTTGACAGATGTAGAAATTCCTGTTTATATTTAAATTCCAAATAAATAGTAAAAATAGACACATACGTGGACTGGCTGACTGCTTATTTAAGACACACTTTAAAGCTAGTTCAGTTAGGCAGGTTTGGGAATGTGATAAATGAATTAAACTGTGTCAGTTTCAAACTGTCACTATTAGAATCTAATTCAAATTTAAATAGCAATTTAAACAGTATAAAAGATTGCCCTCATCGGCCCTCCAAAATCTTAACCTTTGGAGCTTCCCACAGAATAGATAGTAAATTGAATTAATTATTAGCTTTTCACCTTGGGGATGTAGGTAGAATTCTGCAGCTCAGAAGACAGCTAATGAGATTGGTAGCTCATTTCAGTCCCCAGTGTACTCTAATCCCCAACACATATCCACCTGTCGTATTTTCTCACTGTTTCTTTTTAGTGAATAAAATTCTAAGAAGTCAGAGTTGGCTGACATTTAAAATCCTCTTTATAAAGTAGCATAATTGTGTATACCAGTAAGTTCAAAGGAATGTCATATGGAGAAAAAGATAAAAGGAAGTAATGTCCAACAATGGTGATAATTCTAATTGGTTCCCATAATTTCTGGAGTATCATTCTATTTCTATAATTTCTCATCAAGCTAAGCATGCCATTACATTCATTCATTTATTCACATATTCAACAAGTACTTAAGAGTAACCGCCATGAATTACTCTGTGTTCTGACTATCATTAAACTTATTGCTCACTGGGACATGAAGACAAGTTAATAGAGAATTTTGTTACTGTGGAATAAGAGGTAAAAGAGAAGTATAGAGTTACATAACCTGAACCGAGAAGAGTCAAATAGGTTTTTTTGAAGAAAATGACATCTAAGTTGGATCCTTAAGAATGAATAAACATTAGTCAAGCCCAGAAAAGAGAATGATGGTATAGGCTAAAATAAGCCAGGAAGAAAGAATGGGATAGACACAGTGCTACAACTTCAAGTGCTTCAGTATGGCTGGAACACAGAGGATGAGTGGTGGGTGTTAGAAGGAGACATGAAAAAAATAGCCTTAGTATATTGTAAGACACTTCAAATACATTGCTTCCTGAAAAGAAGTGCAACTTATTAAATCATTCATTACAAGAGAGGGATTATATTATAATTATATTTCACAGTAATTGTCTTGAATGCCATAGGACTTGGGGTTGAGGAGAGAACTGATGGGAATGAATATGCAGTGACTGCTTCCCACTGTGCTGTGAGTATAAATGTGCTTTGTCTCTGATCCAGTAATCTCTTGTCTTCTGTGACATCTGTGTAAATAACAAGTGCTTGTTGTCATGGAAGATAATTTCAGGTACTTCACAATGCTTCAGCATCTCTTTACACCTCTTCATTATCTTCATTATCAACTGAAAATGGATAAAGAAAATGGTGTACATATACAATGGAGTATTATGAACCAATAAATAAAAATGAAATCATGTCATAAGAAGGAAAAAGGATGGAACTGGAAATTAGCAAGTAAAATAAACCAGGCTGAGAAAAACAAGTTTTAGAAGTTTTCTTTCATATGTAGAGTGTTTAAAAAATGACATTAAACTATAAGGCATACTATTAAAGATAAAGGGGAGGAGGGAAGGTGGGAGGGAATGGGAAGAGGAAAATAGAGTAGAAATTATCAAGTATTGTTATATGCATGTATTATTATGACAAACCCACAACTCTGTATAACTAATATGCACCAATAAAATTTATTTATTTTATGTTATTAGTTGAGGATACAAATATGAAGTTTAGATAATGTGTTAAAGGTGTTTGTATATTTTTATAACTTTATATCCCTACAAATACCCAAATCTTGTGTTTTCATATTTCTGTTTATGTTCGTGAATCTAGTTTTTAATAGGTTAGTAATGAGCTCATTATACTTGTATCCAAATTTTTAAAAGCCCAAAATTAGTTTTTGCAGAGCTTCATTTTTCATAGTCAGAATCTGAATTTTTTTTTCTTTTTTTTTTTTTTTTTCGTACTGGGGTTCGAACTCGGGACCTTGTGGTTGCAAAGCAGCTGCCAGAACCACTGAGCTAAATCCCCAGCCCCATGAGACTGAATTTTTAAAACTGTACATCAATTTGATTTTAGCTTTAGAAAATGGAGATTTTCAAATTTATAGAAACCTGTGTTGGTCCAATTAAAGCTTTCTCTGATTACTGATTTAACAAATAAGGGAATTATGAGGGCAGGGTGACATCAGCAAGGTGGCTGACTAAAGAGCATTGGCACACATCCCTTCACAACAAAGGAATAAAACAGAGTAATGGCTGTTTCTCTGGAGTGTTAGAGGCAGGGTGCCTGAGAACAATGAGAATGTAACAGAGACACTGAAGGGAGACTCATGGTGGCCATATAAAGAAGGGCTCTACCATATAATCTACTGCCCTTTCTCTGGAGATCAACCCTGCACCAAGGCACTTTGTTCAGTGGCAAGAGGGGAAACGGAGGCCCCCAGCAGTCCCTGCTCACACCTCAGACACCTGAGGTGTCTCCTGGAGAACCCTGCAGTCCTCCTGATACCTGAGCCCAGTTCATGGAGCCATGGAGCTACCCACTTACCACCCCGCTGCATCACCCCAGAGAAAAGGCAGCATACATTGTAACCTCCCCACACCAGCCTTCTGCTGCACAGTGCCATCATGATACCTCTTCCCAGCTGGGATTCCTTGAAAAAGGGGGCATTAGGCCTCCAGAACTGACAGACTAGCTGTGAGGCTTCCCATGGTCTTAAAGCACTTGAATGGCTCATCCAGAGCAGCTCAGCCTGCAGAGGAAGCCCCTGGAAAACAGTCTGGTGGCCCAATCTGCTTTCTCAGTCACAGAAGCATGTGATTGGCTCCTCTTGTCATGGGAACCTACCAGATGTCCTCACAAACCCACCCTCAGCCTGGGACAGAGCTGGGAACCTCCCCTGACTAGGGGTTGACCCACTGAACACACTGTGTCCCAGGAAGCAGAGAAGAGGCCTCTTCCACCCAACCATGACATCAGGAAGCAGCCAAAGATCCTTTCCTGAGTGGCTAGACTCTCCGAGGCTTTCAGGAAGTAATTCTTCTGGCCCCAGGAAGCAGATTAACAGCCCATCCCCAGATGCTTAGCCCACTGAGGCCCTTGGCAGCAGCTGAGCAGACTTTCCTGAACATGTCAGCCATCTTTGTTTTTTTTAAAAAAATGTAAATAGAAAAATTGGAATGGAGATATTCTAACTAAAGCAAAAACAATTTAAAGCACATATTGGAAAATTAAACTCCAAATTCTCCTGGTTTTTTTTTTTTATTCATCTTCATTCTGTCAGAAACATAGTATCTCTGGAGTAAGCTAAATGTCTATCATCACTGTCAAAGGATGACTGGAAAATTGTTGATTAACATTTAATAAAATAAAAGCCATGCTCTTTGTGCATACATTTTGAGATACTAATTTTGTAGCTCTAGATATAGAAAAGAAATTTGAAAAATTTAGACATCATCTTTTCTTCTCCAAATCCTCTGATATTTTCTACTGGGTTGAAAAATTCAAAACTTGACTCATTCATATGAACTAGGAAGAAAAAGTCCAAAAGGGAAGGGGAAGTGGAAGGGGTACAGGAAAGGAAAGAAGGGAAAGGAATAAATATGAGAAAAGGAAAAAATGGAAACAAAGTCTTTGTAAATAGGGAGAGTTGGAGGGGTTGAGCAGAGGGCAGGGGAAGGGGAAAAATAAGAACCATGATATATTATGTAAAGGTACAAACTCCCTACGATGAATGTCATCATTTTGTATATCTAAAATGTACCAATTAAAAAAAATTGACTCACTCATGATATAATATGGAAAAAGCTTTTACAAATATTTAGGAAATATTGGAGTCAGCTAACATAGCCAATTATGAAGATTTTATTTTTTTAAAAATCATATCTCTTGACATTATCTCTTATTTTATTGACCACAGCTCTTCATTTTGTACTTTTCTATATAGATCCAAAATTTGTCTTTATATTATAGAATAACTCCTAGTTCAACTTCCAAAAGTAAATCAAAGCAGCTGATATTTTTCTCTTTGGAATGATAATAGCATCTTGTTATATTCTGATTCTACTATTTATAAAACATATTATGTCATTTGAGTATCATTTTCCTTAACTTCAAAATTCGATTTTCTCATTCAAAGTGTCCTTCTGAACATTAGGAGAAATAAAGTAGGTAAAAATAACTAAGCATGTTTTTCTCAGAATAAAACAGATCAAGGAAATTTTTTGTGAATATAATTTGTTTTTAAAGCCTCACCATTTTGTCACTGTAGTTTGAAACACTGCAATTTATCAATGATCTTTTAAAATTTTGAACCCATAAAGGAAGAGCATATCCCTATTATTATTGTTTTTGATCTGTCTAGATATTTACAGATCCCATCATACTTAAAGTCAATTAAAGGAAGAAAAATGCATAAAATAGATATTTTAATCCTTTAAAGAAATCTCTTTTATGTGAATTAAATAACTTAGCCCATAATAAAGCAACCTGTTAATAATAATAGATTTTAGCTTTCCTAGTTGTGTTAGCAGTAAGATTCTAATTATAGTTCTGTACTTTAGTGTTTATATTTTAGGAATAGCAAAATTATTTTAGTAAATGTAGAAATATCATCCTGTGCTGGTAGTAGAAGTTACAGACAGACTGTAGGAAAGAGAGAGAAGGCAATGCTAGAGGGAAGGAGAAATGCAACTGAAGAATTAAAAACTGTCTTTGCATCCGCCCAATCAGTGCCAGTGCAATAATAAGGGGAAGTAGAAACAAACTACCTTACACTTCTTGCGATTCCATGGAGGGGTCTACACTCAACTCACATTTGTTTGTACTCTTGGGCTTAAGTAAAATTTCTATGAGTTTCCTTAAAGTTTTGGAGCATTAGTGACTTGAAAGAAAGTGGGAGCATTTCTTAATTCATGTAAGTTTTAAAAAGAAAGTATCTGAGTAAGTGGAAAAATTTCAGGTTTCAGAATATTAAGGCATAAAAATAAACTGTGAAAACGCAGCAAATAGACTAGAAATTGGACCCACACATATTTGGGATCATCTGAATGAGGTGGAAAAGTTATGAAGAGTTAACATTATCATGACATGTCATTGGGGGACTTAAAAAGAAATAATAATGATGTGTACCATCTGTTCGGGACTCCTTCTGGTGAAATACTGCCATTGTTTAAATTTTAAGGCTAGACACACCCTTGAGATGGAGGGAGATTCCATGCTCAAGGATCTGTATGTATAAACCATTTCAACGAAACAGAATTGGTTTACATACTGTTCAAAAAATTCCCCAATTCCCAAGAATGACCTAAACATGTACTAACTTCACCAGTGAAACTGGAATCTCAACGCAAAAATGAAAGCATTAGATAAGCAATTAACTCCTGGGTGGTTTTAAAGTGCACAAATGAGGGTATAGTTCTGAAAAACAGGCTGCCAGCCTCAGTGTAGGGTAGCTATTTTGGCTTGGACAAGGCCATTAACTGAATAATTAAAAGAGCACTTGGCCTTGATTTTCTGAACCAATTCCAGCTTGCTTAATTATATCCACTTATTGCCATTTTAATCCTCCATGCAATTTCAACTGGACCCAAGGTTTTCCCAAATCCTCTGTCCTAAAATAGTATTCTGCTGAATATAGGGTGATTTTCCTCTATTCCTTTCTGTGCCCAGTTGTTTGGCATTCTTCCCATGAAGTTCAGTTTTTAGTTTCTAATGAATATTTTAAAACAGAAGCTGATCAGAGGAAAAAATTAGTTAAATTTCAAAGAATCCTAAAGGGTTCTAGGAAACTAAAAAATAATAATATTAAAAAATTCAATTGACAGAAGAGATGCTGATGAAGGATTACTGTTACAAGCATTTCTCAACATTTGATAATTTTTTTCTGATAGTTTTTCTTTCCAGGTTAAAATACTTACGTTCTAAAATCCTCTGTCTTTCAGTTCCCACTGAATGATTTCATGAAATCATACATACATATATGAAGGTACAGTCATGCGGCCCTTCACATCAGTGGTCCTGAAAGTTTGTGTCACCTGGCAACGTGGTAGGCATCTTAGAATATGTAATTAATTGTATACTAGTGCTGGCAAACCTATGGCATGGGTGCTGCAGTGGGCTCTTGAGCCACGGCATCACAGCAGCTGGTCATTGGATAACAACTGTTTTTCCTAAACTAAAACTTCAGTACTTGGGTTTATTAGCAGTGTTGGCACTTTGAGATAAATAAGTAGGTTTTGGGTTGCAGTTTGGGTATTCGGTCTCTAAAAGGTTTGCCATCATTTATATGCTATGATGCTCACATCACAATGAAGTTGTCTACTAACACATATAACTTTCATTAAATAACAGGACATATAATCAATATTATATTGTAATCATTATAGTGTAATAATGATATCATTATACATTAATGATTATATCATTAAGAGATTTTTTTGGGGGGGGTACTGGGGATTGAACTTGGGTCCTTGTGCTTGTGAGGCAGGTGGCGGAAGCACTGAGCTAAATCCCCGGCCCCAAAGAGATTTTTAATATCTTATCAATTACAAGCTAATTACATGTGATATGTTTCACATACATGCTTCTTTTATAAAGTCAAAACCCAAAAGCTACCTGAAATTGTATCAGTGTACTTGGATAAAGTTATAATTTCTACATTCTTACTTGGAATAACCACATCATACTTTATCAACAACCTTTTTAAAAACAGTGTTTGCTTTGTAGTACTGAGGATTCCACACAGGCCCTTGTACATCCTAGGCAAGCATTCTACCCACAATGTATTTTAAAGAATATCTATAGTAACTATTTGAACAAATACTTTTCTTCAAAATGCTGAATGTTGATTGAAATCCAAATTTTTAGGGTTCATTTAAAGAGCTGTATTACCTTTAGATACACATGGACATACACCACATATTGATTAAATGCATTTAAAACCATTAAATTTATTTCCAATATTTATTATATTATCTAACATCACATGATATTAGTTTAGGAAATTAAATATTAAATATTCATTGACATTAATTTTTATAAAATAAAATTAGAAGAATATTTGAAATCATATTAATTTACAATAATAATGAAACATTTAGGAGTGAATTAAATTGAATGTTATCACTTTTTATCACATTAGATGAAAAGTACACTGTTTGAAAATTATGTTTAGAATGATTGTCACCTTTAAATCACGATTATAAACTTGAATTGATTAAAAATATACAGTAGATAAGTAAAGCATACTTCTGGGTTTGTGTGGATGGTTCATGGGGGTGTGAATTGGGGACCATATTTGGTTCCTTGCTGTTTCCTCTTTGCCCTTATTTTTAGTTTGCTTTATTTCGCAGCTACCAAAAAGTGAGCAACTTTGCTTCACTACACCTCTCAGCTGTGATACTCCTGCCTTCGAGGCAGCCAAAAGTGGACTGAATTCTGCAACTGTGAGCCAAATAAACCTTTCCTCCTTTAGTTTTCAGATGTCAGGTACTTTTTCCAGTAGGAAAGATAGTTAACTAATATCAAAATTTGTACCAAAGAAAAGGAGTCAGTTCATTGCTAATCATTCATTGTTACTGTCAAATTGCCTAGATTAAGAAATGCCTAGTATATTAATAAAGCACACTTCTGGATATGTTTAGGTAGGATGTAGGAGTGTGACTTTGGGAACTATCTGGTTCCTGGACCTTTCCTCTTTGACAGTGTTTCCAATCTGCTCTGCTTCCTGGGCTACAGTGAAGTAACCAATTTTGCTCTACCAGGACCTTAGAGCCAGCTGTTCATGGAACTGAACCCTCTGAAACTTTGAGGAAATAAAACCATTTCAGGTATTGGATCCCAGTGATGGGAAAATTGGCTAATACAGCTGTTTAAAAATACTGGCCAACTAAAATATATGAAACTGATTTCCAGATATGCAGAGAGAGAAATCTCAAAGAGCACACAACTGTATGCTTTGATTTACATATAGCTGCTGCTTCCAGTCACATACAAAACTTTGTGATGAGTGCTCAGTGTTAGTGCAAAAGGGAGTAATATACTTAATTATGGCTAATTACCCTCCCCCCAATGCACAGAAAGCTGGATAGTCATTAATTTTCATCTCAAATATGAACTTGTGAATTGGGCAGGATCCAAGAAAGTTTTGATTACTCTTGCCATTTGTTCAATGTGCACTTTGTGGGTTGAAATGACATGGGTATGTGATGTGCATTGTAGGCACCCAATTCATTTTAGATAATTGTACATAACTTTTATTAAATAATTTCCAAGGTAAAACACTAGCTTGGAAATTAATGTTGTGAAGAGTCAAATGAATTTTTAAATGTCTTTTAGGTCTTAGGTATCTGATGGCTCTGTCTGAAAGACACAAGGGATTATAAATCTGAATTGGAGCCTAACTTTTTCCTCAAAATGACCTATGGAGGTAATCATGAAAGCATATTTAATTCAGAGAGAAAATGACCACATAATTTTCTTTGAAATTCTATGATAGATAGGCTGCTAAATTCTGTTGGAATTTTGTTTGTACAATCAAAGTCAATGTATTTGTTTAATTTTTAATAATTAAATGGGTTTTTTTGACAGTACTGGAGATCAAATTCAGAACTTTACATAGGCCAGGCAAACACTCTACCATTAACCTATATCCCCAGCCCTTCTTAAATGGCAACCAAAGAAAAATTTAAGAACAATATGTAATAAAACTGCTACATTTACTTTATTTAAATTATTTTTACATGTCAAAAATGTGTATACTCTATATCAGTAAAATTAATTATTACAAATCACCCCAAATGCATTATGGAAAAAGTCACTAAGATAAACTTCAAACTATAACACAGATTCTGGAAATATACACACTAGTTTTAAACATTCAATCTCCCAGCATTATGAGCATAGATATATTTGGGAGTATGTAAAATAAATTATAAATTGCAAGTTTATATATATATATATGTAATCTTATTTTTATACTGTTATATTTAAACAAAGAATGATTTTTTTATATTTTGTACCATAACATTTCCTTCTTGACTCTATGACTATTGCTGAACTATTTTCAGAAATAAAGAACATTTTTTGGGAATAGAAATATACAACTATGGACCAGCAACTAACTATAAATCATTAGGTGTAAATTTCTTATACTTGTATCCTTATAAGTTAGACTAAAGGTGCAGAAGTTAATGTTCATATAGATCATTTTTACATATTTTAATAAGTAGTAGAAAACCTGCAATTAAGACTAAGTGGCAACAAGGCGATATGAATGTGTTTTCAATTGATAAAGCCATGGAAATAACTTAATAATTATTTGAAGATTTTTTTTTTCTTTAGAGTTTGGTAATTTTCTCACATAAAATCAGTATCTATTCCAGCCCCAATTTTTTTCTATTGGTTTTAGCAGTGCAGAAAAAAAAATTGTAAATGGGTTTGGCACAGTGATGCGCCTTGTCTTAGTCAGCTGTGGTTGAAATGAAAATCCCTGAGGCTTCGTCTAAAGGAGGCCAAAACAGCCAATAAAAAGCAGCAAGCTGGCAAAGCTATATTTTGTGTGACTGCAAAAGAAAACTATTTTTCAACCAACCTGGAGTGTTTTTTTTTTTTTTTCAATTGTCCTCTCGAGATCCTACGTAGATGCATCTTGCTTTGAGTTCCCCTTATTCCTGTGGCAACCAATTGAAGGTGGTATGTGAGTCTTTCTAGACTGGGCTTCCTGTTCTTCATTTTCAAATCTTCGTTAAATTATTGTAAAAGTTATCGATTGTTCTCAGGGAAACTATTCAAAGAAGGTGTTGGTTCACACTATTGCTGGAGCAAGAAAAAGAAAGATAGATGAGACAGGTAGAGGTTCACCTCTCAAAGAAACAGTAACTAGTGTCTTAAAGTACAAAGTCAGGAGAAAGCCTAGGGCAGAAATAAAAATGCAGAACAAATTTTAGGACATAGAAATTTCTCTTAAGTTGTCCACAAATACCTATTCATTATAAATTTTAATTCTCAAACAATAAATGGCTGATTCATTTTATAGTTAAGATCACATGGTTGCTTTATGTTTTCTTTTAAAACAAAACACTATGAAGAATTATATAAGCTATACATTTACACTGATTTCAATATATAAAATACTTGTAACCATTAATTAATGACCACAGCATTTTATTTTTATTTGATATAATTAAAAGAATGTTATTTCATTCCAAAGAGGTGCTGATCTTTTAAGCCACTTTTCACTGGTTTCATTTGACAAGAAATATGAGTATGTGGCCACAAAGGAATGTCTATTTAGAGAAAGTTTGCCTCTGGAGTTACCTGCACATACAGTCTTGAAAAAACATCTGTGGAAGGCAAGACTCATTTGGTTCCTAATAAAAGTTACCCTTGGGAAGGTCATTCAATCCACATGATCTTTCACTGCCACTGCAGACTTCAGAAGGAAGAAAACAAGAACATCAAAGTCTTACTATTTTATATATAACTTTGCCAGTTACCAATTTAAGACCTTTTCAAAAATGCACAGTCAGCTATATACTTGTAAAAGGTAAAAAGAACTTTAAACAATCCCCCACTGTGTACTGCTCAGTCTCTCTCGGTGCTACCTGTAGACTGTGAGCTACTTGAAAAAAAATACCAGAAACAAAGAGCAGAGAAGGTGTTGAAAGATGTACAGGCCTTAAGGATGGTTTGTATCTCTTCTTGTTAATTACAGTCACTGAGGCAAGTAGGAGTTGCAATGTCTCCTGAATAGTTTATCCTACAACGGATAACACTGGGGAGAAATTTACAAAGTGCTTACAACCCCACTGTCCCATAAAGAGTGCACTTAAAGCAATCTGGTTCAGATCTTATTTTAAGAGAGGTCAAAAATTCCAGTGTTTCTTGTAGTTTTGGGGTTTTTGTTTGTTTGTTTTGTATTGTGACTGTGTCGCGGGGGGAGACAGGTAGAGAGTCCCCGCAGTCCCAGGCCTGACTCTCCCCAAGACGCAGAAGGTTGTGGAAGAATCAGATAGAGACTGAAAGCATAGAAACAAAGTTGTACTTTTATTCAGCAAACCTACAAGAGTACAGCTGCCTTCTCTCAGAAAGGCAGGGGGGCCGGAAAAGGAGTCACTGTTGAACGGGGCTCAAGATGCTGGTTCTATAGTAGTGGGAGCCTATCTTGCCTCTGGGCTGAGGGTGCCCCTACTTGATTGGTTAATGATTAACTTAGCTTGTTACTAGGGACAACAGGGGAGAGTCTTTTCAGGGGCGGGGGGCGGGGGCTTTTACATCTTAGGGCCAAGGTTCTTTTTCCTTTTGATCTAAACAAACCAAGCTTTGCAGGGTACAGCGTGAAAAGGAGGTGCAACCACAGACTGTCAGCTTTTCATGGGTGGTTAAGCCTGTTCTGCCAGCTATCTGAACTCCTGGGGTGGGGGTCCCTCATCTCTCCCTGCCTCCCAGTCTCTATCCCTACAATGGTTAAACTTTTATTGATTGGCTTGAGAGCTGTTCAGAGGACTATTGGAGCACATTTCTGGATGTGTCTGGGTGGGCCATAAAGGCATGACCTTGATTATGATATCTGGTCCCTCCTCCCATCCTCCTGTGAGCTGCTCCCCTATTCTGCTTCATGGACATCATGAACTAAGTAGCTTTGCTCTACCATATCCTTTAGGCATGATATTCCTACCTTGCAAGCTACCAACCCTGACTGAAAACCTCTGAAACTGTGAAGCAAATTAATTTCTATTTTTTTAAGCTGCGGACGTCAGGTATTGTGTCCCAGTGATAAAAATCTAATACTAAAAATTGTTACCAGAAAAGTGGGGTAGTTGATGTGACTGTACCTTACCATGTGGTTTATCAGCTTTGGAAATGGTTTGCAGGAGGAAGTTGGAAAAATTTGGAGAATAAGGCTGGAGAATGCCTAGAAGACTATAAGTAGTACCTGTAGGTGATTCTGATTAGAGCTCAGAAGATCGTTATGCTAATAGGAACACAGATGGTAAAGGGACATTTCAGTTGAGAACAAGGAATTTTTGAGAAATGGACTAGAAGGCAAGCATATTACACTCTGGAAAAAAAAAATGTGTCTATAATCTGTCATGATTTGAGACTTTGAGGAAAGCTGAGATTAGGAATGCTTACCCTATGCCATCCAAATGTCCTGGATGCTACTCCTGTGGACAGCTGACTTGGCATTATCCACAAAGTGCTGGTTTTCTCAGCATGCAGAACAGAAGAGTTGTGGGTTCAGGAAGCCTTCCTGATTTCAAAGGAAGGCTTAGGAAGCCAGCCCAGGAGCCACTGAGAGAAGAATGTACAAAACTTTGAAAACGAAGTTGAAGGAACAGTGATCATCTAGGAAGTCAGAGATGCCAGGAATGTGGAATGTCTGCTAAGAAAAACTTCTGGTCACTAGCTGACCCAGGCCAAGATAGCACAAAGTAATGTGGCCATCTACACCTTATGGAGTCATGTCTTACTACCATGTACTCCAAATGCCAGATTTGAACATGCTGGACTTAATGTTTATCCACTAGTTTTCCACCTTGCTTTCATTTGATTTTTTTTTCTATTCCCTTATTCCTTCATTTTGAAATAGGAATGCTTACCATGTGCCATTTTACCTTGGGATTATGTAACTTGTTTTGATTTTCACAGATGTTCACAGCTAAGAGTTTTCCTTGAGTCCCAGAGAAGATTTTGATTTGGACTTTTGAAAAATGCTGGGAAAAGGATTGTTATGTTTCCAATTGTATGCAAAACAGAGGTAATACCTTAGGCAGAACTGTGAACTTCCTATTTTCTTTATTTGGAGATTAAGTATAGTTTAAGGAGATGTGTTTGGATGTCAAGTTGACATGAGTGGTATGTGACAATTAGCTCTATAATGTTAACTTGATTGTCTTGGGAGGCTCCTAGGGGACTGGTGGATGTCACTTATAAATACATGTTATGGCTTGTGTCTAGAAGTCCCTGTAATAGCTCATGCAGTCATAGGTGAGTGTTTTTCAGTGGTGGTTGGATCTAGAGTGTGTGATGCTGGGATTAAGGGTGTGTGGTTACTAAATTAGTCCACTGGTTGATTTGGGGTAGCCTAGATCGAATATAAAGAAAAAGTCTGCTATTGTTCCTTGTAGTTTGCTGCTTGCTGCCTTCTGCCTGCCATGAACTGTTTCTCCTCTGCCATGCCCCTCTGTCATATCACCCTGTCTTGGAGCCAGCCAACTATGAACTAAAACTTCCACAGTCTGTGAGCTAAATATACCTTTGTTTCTTTAACTTTAGATGTTGAATATTTTGTTTTAGCAATGAGAAAAGTAACTGAGACAATGCATCTCAGTGGGACATGGTGGCATAACCTTGGATACTATATTGGATCTCTTGTCCTTTCCTCTTGGGTTCTGTTCCCTTGTTTTGCTTCATGGCCACCATGAATTAAACATCTTTGCCCCACCATACCCTGCTTCTGCCATGGAAGCTCTTGCCTTGCATCCTGCTGATCCTGGATGGTAAACCTCTGAAATGGTGAATGAAATTAAACTCCTCCTTGTTTAAATTGTGGGTGTCAGGTATTGTGCCCAAGTGATGCAAAACTGATTAATATATGCATTAAGACATTAATATACATTCCCTAAAATGAGACTATCTTCACAAACAGAATAAACCAATTTATGTGAAAGAAACAGCATCTGTCCCTCATTACTAGAGTTTCTTTTCAGAAAGACCTGCAGAATTAATGAGAAAGAAAATAAATACTTTCTCTAGTCACACAGATTCACTGAATCTGGCCCAGCATTCAGTGTTAGAGCAATATCATCCAGAGTAAGTCCATACCTAGAACTCGCTTCTGATGATTCATACTTGAAAAAAACTTCTCCAAACCTAGGGATGTTAATTGCTAATCTGATTAGTTTGCATTGTTATACTTAATATGGAATGAGTTAAAAATGACTGGAAAAGGGCAACAAAAGTCAAAGTTTAGATAACAAATGGCCTATTTACTCTCAATATAAGAAAAAAATTCACTTACATTTTCATAGCAAAATATACACAAATTGTAGAATTTCCCATTGAGGAATTCTATTAAAATACTTTTGTAATATAGAGTAGTTATGCTACTTTTTAATTATTGGTATATTTTTATTATACATAATAATTATATTTACCTGGGTGATTTGTTACATATGCATATAGCATCCTAATCATTTTTACTATTTATACTACTTTCAAATTTGTTTTTCCTACCTTCCAAGAACTATCACTGTTTTTACTGCATCATCTTTTATTCTCTTGCAATTTTGAACACAGGACCCAAAAAGAGAGTCTTTTGAAGTTACTCAATTCAATTTAACAAGTGGTTATTAAACATCTGCTATATTGCAGATAGTTTTCAGAAAATGTTGTAACAAAATGAATGAGAAGTGATTTCAGCTCTCTAGAGCATTAACTTAAATCAAAAAAAAAATTAGAGAAGAGATAAAGACTCAGAAGAGTATGTTCACACAAAGCTTGGGGGGTCCCTGGGAACTGAGCCAATATACTCATACTGAGTCCATAGGGACAAACTTAATTTGTGATATACAATAAACGTACAAGGAGTTTTTATTGCATTAATGGAAAAATAATGAATGAAAGGCAAGGACTTGGGACACAATAATAAAGATATGTGTGATAGCAGTACAGAAAGAATATTTTCAGGTGAGTATGAAGAGTTTCTTGGAAGTTCTCTCTCTCTCTCTTTCTCAATCTCTATACATACACACATGTACATAGATATTTAGCTCTCTAGAAGTTTAATAGAATATTTTATTTTGCCATGATTCTTGCATAATTTAAAATTGGTTGTCAGTCAAAATGTTTACTATTTTCAATAACTGTCTGTTTAAGTTGTACAACCTGAATGTGCTGTGAGTGTCTCTTCTGGTCCTGTCCCTGTTTGTCCACAAATCTATTCCTTACTGCTTCTTGCCTTGCTCTTTAATGTGGAGCGGATGATCTAGAGACTGAATTTCCAGATTCTGAGGTCAGTAAGTTTCAGCTGTATTCAGTCAATGGGAGGCACAAGTGGGGAACTGAGATGTGAAGGGAAAGCTAAAGGTGCATCTCACTTTCCCTGTGTTCCTGTGTTCCATGTGGTTAGCCCTTTCTGAGCAACTTGAGCTTCTCAATTTCAGTAGTTCTGGATATCCTTCTTGAGTCTTTCCAGCATGGCAGAGGTAGGGATTTTCTGTGATTTCTGCCCTCTGGATTGCCTCAGTGTTGTTCTTTCTGTTCAGCTTTTCAACCATCTCATAAACATGTAAAGAGTCCCTTATAACGAAGGCATCAATTTTTGAAAACTTAGAGAAGTTTCACTTTCCTGGGTTAAACCTTATATTATATGCTTCTCAGATATTGTTTCATATTTGTTGCAATTTGATGAATATCCCCCAAAGGGCTATGTGTTAAAAGCTTTGTGGTGCTACTGGGATATGGAGGAACCTGGAAGTATGGTGGAATATTTTGGAGGTGGGGCTTTGTAGGAAGTCCTTGGGTCCCTGGGAACATGTCCTGAAGGGGATTGTAGGACCTGGTCCCTTTCTGTCTTTGTTTCTTGGCTAATGATAAGAGCAGTTTGCTGCTCCATGTTACTCTTCACCATTGCCATCTAGCACTCCCACTCAAGGCCCAAATAGATGGTTGCACCCAGTCATGGACTGGAATCTCCAAAACCATGAACTAAATAAGACCTCTCTCTTCAAAAGTTAATTACTTTAGGTATTTCATGATGTAAAGCTGACAAGTGCAATGCTCGAGTTGAGTTGAAGGAAGTCATGCTGAATTATTTTCAAGTACATTGAAATTACACATCATTTGTGTTCTTTTAATAATAATGTACTTAATTAGCACTAATTGTGCTTTTATTAATGTCACTATGTTATACATATGTGCTTTTATTAAATTCTTCCAAAAACCCTAGAAGATCAACACATTCTTCTTCCTAGTTTCACAAATCAAGAAACTAAAAACAAGAGAGCTCTTGACTTTTTCAAGGCTAACTTGATAATAGGTAGTAGAACTGGGATTTATAGCTGGCTGTTAACTACACTGGCACTACTTGTGTAACTACTGTTTGTTGTACATAATCCTTCAGAGCTAGATTTTATTTCAGCCCAATGCCACTTTCCTATCTTCTTAGCTGTAGTCTACATTTGTTATTACTTTAAATATTATATGTTCCAAGAAAGCATATTACTTAAGTCCGTAGTGTGTGCAAATACAATCCATGTAAGAGTATATAATGAACTATAAATATAGTATTCAAACTTTAGTTTGTGAACCACATGAAAATTATTTTAGTTTATGAAATCTTTGAATCGCTTACTTTCTGCTTCTCTGCAGTGTTCTGAACTAGAAAGTGTTTTGATATCTGAACTCTTAAGTGTCCAAATTGCTTATACACATGTAGCAACCCTGCTAAACTCTGATCTCCTTGGAGGCAGAAAATTATATTTTATTAGTCTCTGCAACTCAGAATATGTAGATCAAGGCCCCAATCATTCAAAGCACTCAATAAATATTATTTTAATAGCAATTAGTTGAGTGTATATATAACTGAATGTGTAGAAAGAGATATGTGTGATCCTCTGAAACAATTATATATGCTTAGTTACCTCTAAAATTAATAACCCCAAATTATCCAGAATAAGCCTACCATTACTTTATTATTTCTTACTACTTATACAATCCTACAGTACATAATTAAAATGTGATTTATTAATCTATTTTGTGGATAGAAAGAGTCAATCAGAGGTAGCAATACAATGTTCACAATTTACTTAGAAATATCTATTGTGCTGGCCCATGGTTAATTTAGATTTATGGCCTTGCATGGGAAGCTGAATACAGAGAGTTCTATGCAGTCTGCTGAAATGCCATTAATCACATGGAAATGAAATAGTTAAAACACTAGAGCAAAATTACAATAGAAAAGAGAACAAGATAGAATACTGTAGCATACAAGAGCTCTCAACTACATTTTGTAAGCTGAAGAGCTAATGGATGATTAAACTTGGTACATGAGAAAAACTGAAACCAAGGCTGCAATGAGAGGACAGCTCAAGTCAGCAAATGCACCTCACAGAGTTATAGGTAGATCAGGATTTGGAGAAATCAGGCAACTCACAAGCAGTCTGTCTGGGACTGAATACAGGACTGATTACTGGAAAGTTTATAGAGCAAGCAGTTCATCCTCACAGATCTCTCCTCAATGCAAGCACACAGGCAATTTCATCTTTTACACTTTGGTGAAA